AGTTTTTGGTTCCTTGTTTCATTCGGTAGTGCTGGGAATTCTTAAATCGCGCACATTTCTCCTCGCAGAACCTTAGCCAAAGAATAAAGGAGAGGAAGTACAGCGTTCCACAACGTATACTTGGGGCCCGAGGTACGCAGCAAAGGGGGGTGGGAGGCAGGTCATAGAAGGAAGCGGCGGCACATTCTGGGGAAACGTGCGTCCTCGCCCCATCCGAGGGAAGACGGATGAGCAGACCAAGACAGGAATGGGCAGGATATAACAAGCGATAGGAGTTTCCGTGGGTGCAGATTGCGAAGCCTCGGATGGATGAAGGCGGGGCGAAGAGGAGAGAGAGAGGACGTGGTCCTGGACGCATATGGGTGAGGTGGTTGAGCGTCAGGCCTTTATGGCCCATATGTCCTCTGATATTTTTGGCCGTGAGCTCTTAATTTTGTGAAAAATAAACATTGGTAAGGTTGTGCTCGTTTCTTTCGAACGAAAATGCTTCAATAAGTTGGTTTTTTATTTTCCCATCCTGTTTTTTTGGGTCCGTAGACTACGCCATCATATACGAGCTCAACATGAGAAGGTGACTTCCTCCCGTGTAAGAACCCTTTTCCGGCTGCTAATCTTGCTTGCAAGAACCTTTCCGCTCACTCCCCTTTTTGTTGCTATCCAAAATTTGCCCTCAGCTTACATGATGGTGGTAAAATTATGCCCCATAAACATCAAAAAGATAGTCCCTTACGACACATTTAAGCGCGTTGAGGATCCAGCTCTTGCTTTGCTTCACTTCTCCAGTCTCCCTCCTATGTAACGAAGATAATGAAACAACTTCCTCCTTCCCTACCCTGCACACTCACGCCAATGACTTGTAGTATTGAGCTGTATCCCACAAGATTTCCATGATGCTTTCATAGCTCTTGTAATTGACGCCAAACTCCTTGCACGCCTCCTTCACCACTGGCTGGACCCTCCATAGGTGCTCATGATTGATACCTGGAAAAAGATGATGCTCAATTTGGAAGTTCAGCCCATTAGACAAGACGAACCACCAAGGCGAGTGCGTCGCGAAATTGGAGGAGGTCTCCACCTGCTCCTTGGCCCAGGAGGACCTCCCGGTCCGCCCCTTCTTCCCTTCTTGTCCTGAGCCTCCTCGAGCCGCAGCGATGCTCTTCTCGTTCAAGTGGTTGATTTGCGAGAAAACCCCGAAGAGCATGCCGCATATCGACACGTAAAGCAAGGGGAACGCCCATGCCTTGTAAGCGCCCTCGCCGGCCTCGGCCAAGCACCGACCCGGCGCGTGGAAGACGAGCAGGTAGTACAGGACGAAGTGGGCGAGCGCCCGGGCCAGACCGTCCCACCCAATGTTGGGGAAGGCCATAACCCCGTGCAGGGTCCGGAAGCAGAGGAGCTTGAGGGGGATCCAGATGGTCTCGCCGAAGACGACCACCGCGTACTGGGCGAGCACGTAGAGCCGGAACTGCTGGAGCGCGTGATGGGGCCCGCGGGGCTGCCTGGCGTGCGGCCGCGTCAGAACGAAGTGGTGGAGGTCGGGGTCGTGGTCGAAATCGTTGGTGAAGGAGTGGTGCGCGAAGGTATGCTGATGGTACCAGAGGAAGGGAGAGGCGATCAGGGAGATGCCGAGGCCGCAGAGCCGGTTCACCCAGGGCCGATGGGAGCACGCGAAGTGCGAGCCGTCGTGGCCCATCGCGCCAAGGAGCCAGGAGGAGAGAGAGAAGACAAGCAGGGCCGACCAGCGCCCCTGGAGGAAGCCGCGGTAGGAGATGAGGACGGCCAGGAGCACCAGCAGGTAGTAGGCCCGTCGCTTCCAGGAGGCGACCACGTCCACTCCCGCCATCGCCGCCGCCACCCTCCTCTTCAACGTCTCGTAGAACACGTCTTCACCCCGCCCCTGTCCCCGCGCCCCGCCCCCCAGGCAGTACGCGTCCAGCACGGTCTCCTCCACGGCCACGCGGTGCTTCGCTAGGATCTGCCGGTGGCGCTCGGTGAAGGGGTGGTAGCTTTCGAAGAGAGCCGTGCAGTCGCGGCCTTGGCCCAAGCGCAGGGCGTGGGAGCCTCCTGGATAACGGCGGCGTCTACTTGAGTGGCTTGTCGCTGTTGGATGAGAGAGAGATTGCTTTACAGGATTGAGCGTAGCCGGGGGCACACTTCACTACGTCTTGTTTCGTTCCGAGCTGGTTGTGCTTTTCATTTTTAATTACACACGCAAGCATCCGTCACGCATTTTCCCAAAAAAGAGCACATGGCAGGTCGGAGATCGCGATGCGCCTGGTTGATTAGGGTCGAAATGCGCACCGTGGCCCTCAATGTAATACTCCCGGCCGGCCTCCACCGGCTTTCCTCCCTGTGACACGTTAAGGTCAACGACTTCCCCGCTGACCGATCCTATTTTGCATCATATCACTTTCCTGGTATCCTCGCCAATACAGCCAACAACATCTCTCGAATCGCCGAGTCGCAGCCCCACAGACCCACATCCCTAGTGGAGCCTAGCGGTATCCTTTCCCCATCTCCAGTCTACGCTTTTCAACCATTTTGCGTCTCTTGTATTTTTTTCTCCACTCATTTCTTTTTTCCCTCCAGAGCCGTCTTTGCTCGCTGCGCCTTCTTCTTCTCGTACTTGTCATAAACCTCCCCGCTGAGGCCGCAGAATACTAAGAGCACCGCCAGCCACTGCTTGCTGTTGAGGGCGTGTCCGTACATGACCACAGACACTAGGATGGTGAAGAACTTGCGGGTGGTAGTCACCGTGGTCAGGACGAGCGCGTCGAAGTACTTGATGGTCAGGAAGATGAAGTTCTGGCCCAGGGCCGAGGTGAGGGAGAGCCAGGCCATGGTGGAGAAGAGGGCGGGGTGCTCGAGGCAGAAGCGGGTGCCCTGGACGAATTGGCCCGTGGGGAGGACGAGGACGGAGCAGACGAGGACGCCGGCCATGTTTGTGTAGAACATGAACTCGTGCACCGTGGGCCTGCATATCGTCTTCAGCTTGTCCTGGACCGCCCCCGTCACCCCGTCCATTACCAGGGAGAGCAGGAGCAGCAGTACGCCGTATAACGAGTCCCCCTCCTCCACTTTCCCGCCTACGTGGCCACCCTTCTTCTTTCCTCCATAGAGCTGAAACATGGTGATGCCCAGGGTCACCAGGAACACGCAAAAGTACTCTATCGGCCGATACTTCTTCCCGCGGATCAGCACCCCGAAGAGCATGACCGGCACCATTTTGCAGGACTTGCCCAGCGCCTGCGTCGGGTAGGAGACGTACTTGAGCGCCTCATTCGAGAAGAGCATCGCCAGGATATAGGACGTGCCAGTCAGGCCAAAGTTGAAAAGGGGAATCTTCTGTGAGCTCCGCGACCCGGCGAGCATGAAGGCCAGGGCGAAGAGGGCGTTCACCAGGCACTGGACCCAGAGGAGGAAGAGCGTGGCCGTGAAACGCTCTCCTTGCGGGCCCCGGTACTTGAATATCTGCTCCTGCAAGACCCCGAACGTCAGGTAGGAGGCGTAGATGCCGCCAGCACATATGAGGAGCTTGACCTCGCTAGGCAAGGCATCAAGGCTGAGGCCTCCCTTCTCCTTTTCTTGCTTCTCATTGCCCTTGCCTCCGGGTCCAGCCCGGCGCTTGAAGATTGCCCAGTCTGCATAGACGGCAATGAGGGCTGCGACTGCTCCCCCAAGGAAGGGAAGAAGGATCTTGGGGCCTAGGTGAGGGGGGAGAAAAGAGCACACGATGACAACTTTTCAAGTCTATCTCTGGTATTCCCCAATAAAGCTGGAGGTCCCCTAAACACTTCATTTTCGAGAAAAATACAATTACAATGGCTTAGCCGTCCGGTCGAGGGAAGCGAATACGCTACTCGCGATGTCTACCACTTCATGCCGGAGCACGGCTTCGAGACTTCTCCTCTCTTGTATTCCCATTTCAAACATATCTTTAAGCTCTTGTGACGTCTTATGACAAATATCATACTTATATCGTACAACCTAAGCGGAAGCGCTTGCTCACTTCGTATTCATCACAATGAGCACCGTCACGCTTCCCTGACTTGCAAACTTCAAGCCTCCCTCCTACCGCTCCACTTACCACAAACGCAAAGGTCTTTCAAAGTGTTCCCCGCCATAGCTGGGTACGTCCACAGGAAGTATTGGCTGTTTGTGTGTGACGTATGTGTAACGATGACAAGGAATGCGCAAAGAGCGTGAGTTGGAGGGTGAGAAGCGCGACGGCGGCCACGAAAGCAGTTGCTGTTGAAGGGGGAGGGGCCAAGGAGGGGGTCTGTGCGGTCCCTCGCTTCTTGTGTGTCATCCGTGA